GGCGGTGAAGTGCGCGCTATTTGATTTGAACAATTTGCGCGCGTTAATTGTCAGATTGTAAGTGAGATTTAAACAAAGTAAAATGTCTATAGCTTCATTATCTAAAACTTTTTAGTGTACTTAATAAAAAGTAGCTTATAATAAATAATAATAATATACCTCACACATCTCACACACGGCCGTCTGATCCCAAACTAGGCAGAGCCTGTGCTATGGTAACCAGACTGCTGATAAACATACTTATATATTTCTAAATACATACATATTATAGATAAATTACACCCAGACACAGAACAAATGATCGTGCTCATCACACAATATTTTTCCTGGGTGGGAATCGAACCCACGACCTCCGGCTTAGCAGTCAGGGTCACTAACCACTAGACCAACAGGCCCGTCCGTCTAGCTTCTTGTTTCGCCTGTATTTTGTGTTTAAAGAGTAATAAATTTCCATCATCATGTAAACAATCAGAACGGTTTTTTAATGTATTTATTACCTAGATACTTACTTATACATAACATAACGTATAGATTTAATACACACGTTAACCAACAATTGGCAATCATTACGGTCTATTTACAATGGTATTAACAGCTTAAACAGTTATTGTATAACAATTGCCTTAACGGTCCGTAACGATAGGAATTACTCCGTAATGGCTATTCAGCAAAGAAAAAATTATTTTATTTTGTATATTCGATTACTGGACTCGGACTTTCAAGTAACAGTTCGAATTATAGGTATGCGTCCATGACCTGGGCCTCAATTCTGCTATTTTATGTTCACGCCAAGCCAGTGTCATACCACTGACACGCTATTGAGATGCCATCGAGTGGCCATTGGCATCGGTATAAATAAATCATTTCCTCAAAAAAAGTAATATATTTTCAAATTATAAGGAAATGATTTATTTATTTTACATCGAGTGGCCATTGGCATCGGTTTAAATAAATCATTTCCTCAAAAAAACGTAATATATTTTCTAATTATAAGGAAATGATTTATTTATTTTTCCAAATATGACAATCTTTTTGATATCACCACCGATGAGCCACTGCTATTCCATCGCGACTGTAAAGACACTGAGTTAGTGTAGACTACCGATATTTATACCGATGCCAATGGCCACTCGATGGCCTCTCAATAGCGTGTCAGGGGTATGACAGTGGCTTGGCGTGAACATAAAATAGCCGAATTGAGGCCCTAGACGTGCTATGGTTTACACCCAGTAAAACAGTATAAGCAATATTATTTTGCCTATATTAAATTCCCTTCTCTTCTAATCCAACTTTCCTTTCATTATGATTTCCATATTTTCCCATCTCATTTTTAAAATGTCCGAATGACGATAATAAGCTTGTGGCCTATTATGTAAGTTTGATTAAAACGATGGTTGTTATGGTTATTGCAATATTAGACGTGTATATACGTATATACTATGTATATGTATATATTTTATAAAGTAATGCCGTGTAATATACAGAGGAAAAAAATGATTTGTAAATTATAGAACCTGCTTTAAATTTAAAGTAATTTTATTGATATAGAAAAATATAAAAACTGTCTAAAAAGTCATTATTTTTTTAACAAGTATTGCTAAAAGACTCGTATAAAATAAAGAACTTACATACAATTATTGATCACTACTGCCAAGCATGAACAAAATCGATTACGTCAACAATAACATTATTAACCGCACTGCTATTTTCACAACCAAACAAGAAGTGTGAATTAGGTGATAAAATACTAAGAACTACGTTCACTACAATCAAAAAACAAAGTATTGGACTTTAGACTATGATATCCGTGTCCGAAGCCAAATTTAAAAAAAAACAGGACTTACAAATGTCACAGCCTATTGGTCATTTTGTTTCATTACTAGACTTGATTATGATTAAGGAAACAGGCATCGCGCCCAAAGGTAGGTACAAAGTTACGAGTCAAAACGGCACTTGTGTTGCTAATTTATATATTATCAGCGAATCCCACAGAATGCTTGAACGTAGGCATTTTATTGTGGTTTTATAATTGACTTCGTCAATAAAACGAACAAATTACAACTATTATAGGTAAGAGTTTGGTCTATTTGTTCCAAACTTCCAATCATGAATTTAAACAATTAAGGACTTATTCAAAAATAAATCATTTTCAAACCAGTCGTTAAGGAGGTAATTTACAGTTTCAAAAAAGTATGTACATAAGGAACACAATAGTCCCGAGGGTCAAAACAAATCTGTGTTTCACGTGCCGCCAGGGCAACAATGCTCATGCATTAAAAATGATTTTAAAATTAGTTCAACAGTTTAGCACATGCGCTTTAGTAGGTTTATACACGAATTTATTAACTACTAGCTGAGACCCGCGGTGTTACCCTCGTTTGTTATAATCGCGGGCAACGCCGCGGGGCGAGGCTAGTCTAAAAAAAGTAGCCCAAGTTACTCCTTATGTCATCAGCTATCTGCCAGTGAAAGTCCAGTCGAAGTCGGTATAGCCGTTCCACAGATTACCCGGAACAAACAGACAGACAGACAGACAAAAAATGTTATTTTGGCATATGTACCGTGTAAACATACATATGCATTTAGTCAAAAGCGGTTATTTTAATATTACAAACAGACACTCCAATTTTAATTATTTGTATAGATATAGATTACATCACTGATAACACAATATTTATTTAACTGCCTAAGCAAAATATTACTTCTTTTTTTTTAATGAATTTTCGTGGCTAGGTTATAAAACCTTTGAGCCAACCATATAATAAAACGTATAATAACATGCAAGATCCTAAGTTGTCCAAAGTTTTTTTTTAAAAGGCACCATGACAGTATTTGAAAAAAATTAGAATGTGAAAAGAGTTAGGCTTAGGGAATAACAGAAAAAGATCATAGAGACTTTTCCCTCCAATTCGACACATGTAACATATTGACAAATACATGCAATCGTTGTGGTTAGTGAAGATAACGTGACGACACTGCCGGAGATGTTTTTCAAAATGATTAAGGATACATTATTTATACGTACATGTATATACAGGATACACCAAAAACATATGTCAAAAAGTGGACAAAAAAAAAAGGCATATAGATATATGTCTATCGGGTATTAGAGACTGGGTATATAAAGGACAGTACCTGGATGACCGAGCTTTGATCGATATTTTTTTTTGTAAATTTTCTGCAAATGAAACCTAGCTGGATGGCTTATTCGCCCCCGATATATATATATATATATGTATATATATATATATACAAGAATTGCTCGTTTAAAGGTATTAGATATTACATGTCCCTTGGTAAATCAAAGTTTTATAAACGAAACTCTGTGTTAGACATTCTTAATGAAATGAAGATTATAAATTCTTAATGAAATAAATGATATGGTTTGATGAATGTCTGATACAAAACCCAAAAGAAAACTTTAATTTAATCAAGAAAAAGTGTGTCATCTGATGAAATTGAAGATTATGCAGATGGCAATCAAAACTAATACATAGAAAAGGAATATACAGAGCGAACACCAACCGTGTTCAGTATACGTTTGGTGTTCGCGAGAGTAAATAGGCAAAATGTACCTATATCTATATTATTGGTACCTACATATTAATATACTTTAAACTAGTGTACATCAAAATTAACCATAGCCAATGTTTCTATAAAACCCCTTATTTCACTTCTATTTACCCCATTTACGGGCTGAATAAAAAAAAAGTTAAATTAAAGGATTATATTTTCGAACAGTACAATCAAACAGTGACGTATTACACAAAGAGTTGAAAAGCATTGAATCGGAGTTTTTTTTTTTTATAAATAATAGAAGAGGCGTTGGCCTTCTAATGATTTGAAGACAAAGATGGTACATATCTACCCAAGGGACACCTATTCAGTCTATTAATGAATGGCGACTTGAAATAATTGAAATATCAAGGCGTTTAATTTTTAAAACTGTTGCTAGGTTGCTATTCATTTTAATTCGCGGTAACACTTCAACTGAGCGTCATTTCAATAATGCAATCAAATTCATTGGCAATACGACAAAATTTGACAAATATTTCTTGTATAGAAATAGCATCAACATTTTCTTGTCCCGTTAAAAATAGCTATTAGGTACGAGCAAAAGTGAAAAAAAAAAACGTAAAAATCGGACCCTTCTCGACGGATGCTCAGACATTTATAATGCAATTGATTATTATATTTATAAATCATAGAATACTATTATTATATTCGTTTTATTATCATATTAGGTTTTACATCTATAGTTATTTGATTAACGGGTATATCGTGTAAAAAAAATCGCAAATTATATAAACAGTGTTTATTTGTTATATTATGGTGTTACTAATCTATATAATGTATAACAAAATAATGACAAAGTATATACAAATATAAAGCATAATTAACTTTTAAAAGTAACAAATAATTAAATTAAAAACAAAAATGACAGCCATCAAACAATCACAAAAATAACAGAGTTCTAATATATTTTATGAACTGTTTCCAAGGATTGGCAAAAAGCTACATGCGTATTTTATTTACAAAAGGTCAAGTACAAATTTCTTGTGGGCATAATAACTTCATAGGCCTAAAATTACATAATAAAATAACGTGATATATGAATCGATTTCTCTAGACCTAAGTAACACTCGGTGCGCCTAGTATAACAAATATATTGCTAAGACTCATGAATACTAGTTTAATAAAAGCGATGTAGAAATAACGCAGTAGTTCAAGGGTAAGTGAATGACTGTGTCGTGGACACTCAACACATCCAAACATAAGATTCAGTAGTTTGCTGTAAAAGCTCATTTTATACGTTTAAAAAAATATTGTATCGATTTATTTACAATAATAAAAAAATTATCTGTCGACCGTAATCTCAAATGACAAATCCACATCCATATAATATGCATCGTGTTATTGTATGTCGCGCGATAGGAGGGAAACGAGTTAAAACAATTACTTGATAAGATTGGGGAAATTCACTAAGTCACTTAATAAATTTATATATTTATCGGCTCAGGACTGTATGAGTGATTAGTCACAGGTGACGAAGCCCCATAATCCGGAGTCGTAGGCGTGCTGCTAAGAGGGGTATCCATGGGCTTCGTCAGCGCAGGCGCCACGTACTCAGTTAACCGAACACTAGACTCCTCCTGCAGAGGTGCCGGAGGGGTACAGCTCGGGAACGGGCTGAGTAACAGGAAAGTACCGAAAGCGACTATCGAAGCCATAATTAAGACTATAGTTCTGGATTCAAACCCTGCTCTTAAACCCGCCCACGCAGCCATGCTAACGAGTAACAAGAGTACCGATACCCGTACAAGCCTTACAGCTGTGGAGTGAATCCTACCCCCACCTACGCCACTCATATCGCATGGACCGTATGCGAAATACAGATTATGTTTATCGCCTACGTGTTTAAAGATCATATAGATCAACCCAAATGGCGCAATCAGCGGACAGGCGAGGCTATACACCATTGTAATTGAAAAAATTGCAAGGCTCCACGCATAATGAACGCCAAATGGAAACTCGTAAAGAATGGCCTTCTTAACGTAACTCTTTTCAGCTTTAGATTTAGACTGCAACAAGTACAATACGTAAAGGAATAATTCTGGAAAACGAATTAATTCCAGGGCCGTACCAATAAAGCCTGAAGTTATTACGTAATTAACGAAGAATGCACCCTTGTCAGGCAGAAACACACAATCCCATCTCATGGTGTCATTTTCATGGTTAAAAGTCCATGTGACAAAGGCTTCAGCACTAGCCAGTCCTAAAGAAGGCAGAATAAGAGTCATCAACAGCAAAAAAGATACAGTTTTAGTCATGATAGAATAATTTTGCTGAGACTTGGTCCAATAAGAAAGAAATTTATCAGAAAATGAAACAATTGCAGGCATGACTGCAGCCATCGTCCAGAGAAGTAGGGTAGGGAGGAATTCAAAGATTACAGTACTGATTCTCCCCGAACTCTCTGGTTTAGCTACCATTGTATTGAAAAGGTTTACAACAATTGCTGGAGTGGTCAGGAAAAATAGAACAATAAACAGAAAGAAATTAACAATAATAGCCTTTACATACCAGACGCCTGGTTGTACACTTAAATTTTCCCAAATAATGTCTGATGGATTCGTAGCATGACTCAAGACCCAGCCACGGTGTAAATTAAAATGGTTAATTACATGTTCAGCGAGCTGGTATGATGGTAATGTCAGGAATGCAATACCAATTGGATCATTCAACACCATAGCTCGGCATCTCTTTGCTTCATCCTTCAATCTCTTTTCTTCATTGCTGTAGTATTCCAAAGCATCCACCTCTCCTCCACACCACTTTGGTTTGACAGTAATGCGTTTTCCAGTTTTCTTATAGTAAGTTTCACTGTATAAGAGGGCTTCGGACACCATTTCTCTTTTTTCTAACACATCGTTTAGTAAGTTGATGTTGTAAGCCAAACGAAGATCCACAATTTGGATGTTAGGAAAATTATGGCTGAAATAAGCTCTTATAGTTGACTCACTTCTATCTGCTTTTGAAATGTTTGTGATCATAATTGTTCCTGTCATAGACGTTGGGACTGGTTTACGTCCTGTACACCTTCTCATTATCAGAACAGATACTGGAAGGAACGATATGCTGATCAGGGTATGGACCCACAGCCAACTTGATTTTCCATTAATGTTTGACAAGGTAGTTCTACTGAAAGTACTGGAATCTACATTCAAATCAGTTCCTTGAAAGTTGATAGGTAAGATCACACCGATGGATATCAATGTGACGATAAACATTAGAGTTATTGCATGTCTTTGGAAAGAGAGATAGTGCACAGCGTCAGGGCCACACTTTGCCAGCACCTGTTCGCGAGTCAAGCGGAACACGGCAGGCAGCCAAGTGAAAAATCCTTCATCTATACTGACGGTTTCTTCCGAGCTCCGTCTTCCATTAACCAGTGCGTCTCCATCCACGTCACGATAGAACAGGCTCGTCCACCGACTCTTCGTACGCTGCACGAGCGCCATTCGGCCATAGTTCCATGCAGTTCGTCGCAACACCGTAAACAACACAATGAGGCATAACCAGGATACCAAGTTCAATATAAGTGTTTGCGGTATACCATTGTACGCACCAGTAATAATCACATTTTGTGTAGTATTCACCAGCATACATCCCTCATCGTCCGTATTGTTCGAGGGACTCATTTTCAATGTTGAAATACAATCACTCAGGCGATAAAAGAGAAAGTATTCACATAATGAAGATTCCACAGTCACGAAACCTCACTAAAATTTTACTATAAACCTAATTGTGGATCCGTGTATTGCAAACTGGACACCATCTGGAACTTCTATTGTTGTCAGATAATAAATGGAAGCAAAAGATAACAATTATACGACACTGTGACGTTTCTCTGCAATACGAGTGTTGAGCCTTTGTTGAGTCACCTCACAGATTAAATGAGTACAATAAAATTAGTGTCCGACCGAATCAGGTTTTTCAGCCGAAACCTAACTTTCGGCCTTTGTTTAAAGTGTCGGCCGAAACCGAAACTCTAACTATCATTTTAAAATTTCGACTGTATACTAAAATCTACTGTATTTTTAGCCCTTAATCTGGTTATATCTACATACCTCTGGCTTACCTTAGGCTATACCTAAATATGCTTATACCTTTTTTAAAGCTAGATTCCTAATTAAGGGGCTTGATAGACTAAAAGCTTAAAAAGACTTTTAGTCCTTTAGGCTATACCTATTGAAGACTCTTGGTTTTAGGTCCAAAGTCTAACAACAGTAACGCTTATTAACCCTCTGAAAGGGCTATGAAGGCTATGAAGCTTTTAGTACTCGAGGCTGTACCTGTATAAGTAACTATAACTTACTTTTTATTTTATTGTTAACTCTTTGTTCGATGTCTTTTAAATTCGATTTTTCGCAATGATTTACTTTTCAGTGGATGCTCCTTCTATTACTCTTTAATAATTTTCAAATTGATCCATTTTTTATGAGTTTAATTTGAAAATGTAACGAAAAAGAAACTGAACCGTGTCTATAGGTATTTGAAGTTTAAAAAAGTGAAAATTTCTAGTTAGTTACGGGTGTATCATGCCTCGGCACATATAGACCAGGCTCAACCGGAGTAATTCCACGGCCACAAGGAAAACCTGTATTAAGCAGTTCTTTCGTTGCTTTTCATCAAGTGTGAGAGGTTACCTGAGGAGTGAGAGCCTCTCCCTACCTGAGAGTGTCAATGCACTGGTGACTCTTAAGTTGCGGGTGTCTATGGGCGATGGTACTCAGTCACCATTATTCCACCTGTCTGCTCGGCGAGCAGTGCTCGCTTGTCCCCAAACACCATACAAAAAAAGACAGTACTGGATGGCGCCGAACTCAGCCAGAGCCGATGTCCACTAGTTAGCAGCGAAGTTAACTGAACAACCCTGAATACTTTACGAACATTGAGTTTTGGCGGTGCCGAAAATTTTGGCCAATTTTTGAAGAAACCGACACTCGAGCCGAAACTAGATTTCTGGCCGAAACCGAAACCGAGACTTCGGTCAGTCACTAAATAAAATAAATGTTTACATAGTTGTAGAAAACTCAAACCATAGTAGCGGCATCTGTTATTTAGTTTTGGAACTTATTTAATACTCACCAGAAGAGACGAGAAGTTTGCTACAGTATAGTCAACTAATATTTGAAGAAAATTATATTTTCAAACATTAAATACGGACATTTTAGCCGTCTCATTAATAATAAACGCACTCTTACAATAATTCATCTATTATAAAATCTGAGAATTATGTTGTTTATAGGTTAAGTATTTCTATATTAAATTTAATCAGTTATAAATAATTAACTTAAAGCATTCATTGACATCTACATTTTCATATTTTTATTTTATTTCATGTTAGTACACTTAAACAATAACTTTACACTTTACACTGAAACAATAACTTTCATTTAAATTTAATTAGATTATCAATTTGTATTTGCCAATAAAATATAATGTATGGAAATGTTTTAAGGATAATTTTATTAAATTATTCGCATTACTTGATGGCATGAACGTAAACAGCGCCATCTAGTAGAAAGGTTTGGAAACAACTTTGTCTAATAAAAATTTAAATTCAATCATCAAAAAATATTCTGTTATCTATAAATGTATTTCTAGATCATAAAATAGAAAGTGATTTAAAATAATCTTTGCAGAGTTTGTTTCTTCAATGAACTATAAGATATTTAAATAAAAGAAAACATCAAGCATCAATTAATAAGTTTGTCTTATAAACATGAAAAGTAATTAATTTTTCAAAAATAACTGTCCCGTTGGAGAAATCAAATCACACTCTAAACATGGCATTGGCGGCACTGCACCATCGATGCAGACTCTATTGATAGGCATTTCTATAAACTTTTGGGTAGTTATTATCACGTTGTCACTACTCTATTGCTCAACAATTGTCATTACTCAAGTTCCGTTTAGCGACAATAAAATTGAAAGATAAATTAACGTCGATAAACAGACATCTTAATTCTTCGGCAAATATTTTAATAACAACAAATATACAAGAAAGCATTTTAATACCTTAATATTCTAAAATAAACATTTCAGTCACATTACTAATAAACTGTTATTTTTGTGTTTTTTGAACAAAGTATTTTTTGAGACCATCGACAAGATCTTTTAGAAAGAGATAGGAACATACACATCCCCTGGAAAATGTGAGACAGATTTAATGTCTATAACTTGAGTTGAACGTGAGTGTGTAAATGAAATTCTGAAATTCGTAACAAGTTCGACCGTTCGATTAAGTTGTTCTGTGATAAATATTTTAATTTGATGAATTTAAACTTAGTTTCTGGCAAACAATTATGGCAGATTTCGATTGGAATAATTATCTAGAAGTGAATAAAACAATTGGTGTTCCTGAAGAATTGTTTTCTCATGTAAGTTTCAATTATTTATACGGATTGTAAAAGTTATTTTTTAGCTTTGTTTTATCATTAACACCTATAATTTTAGTTTTGCATATATTATGTAGCTATTTATTGACGTGGTAGTATATTTTGATAGAAATAAGCTCTTTATTCTTTAAAGTGATCGTTGAAATAACTAAAGAAGTTCTCGCAAAAATAAAAATGTTCTACATCGAGCTATTTATTTCTATAGTTATAGAATTATAAATAAAATGCGTGGATTTAGTTACTTTTTCATTATATAAACAGAAATATTTTCGCGTGGTATTTAAAGATTGGTTGTTTGTCGATAATAAATTATTAAAAAAACCTGGAACCATATGGCCATGAGGAGAAAATACCACGCATGATTTATAACTCGGTAAATGAAAAGTAAATGGGTCTTCTTAGACCTAATTAGATATTATTTCGAAAGCCATATTTATTATTTTTATTGAAGCACAATTTTCAAGGAATGTGTGCTAAATATAGATTCAAATAGCATTGTAGAGGAAATATGTTTAATTATGTATAATATAGGGTTTTCATCAGCAGGAAACCAAAGACATGTTTATTGAGAAATAATTTGAAATTCTAAATACATGTCTTATAGATATAAGACATGTATTTAGAATAATGTAATCTAGATAGATTACTCAATAGGTTTTTGCATAGGTACTAATAAACATTGTTACCTAATGTAATAATATTGTGTAATTCACCATATTGTTTTTTTGTATTCTGCTTCTCAACAATCTCTCCTGGAGATGTAATTGCTCCCTTGTCTGAAATTAATTCTAAAATAGATATCTGATTTTTTTTTGTGTTTTTTTTTTAACTTATTTCATTGTTATTTAGCACACAAATTTTAAATATGCAATTCTATTTGAATAAGATTTAGCATAGTTACATTTTTTCATTTAAGAAATTATTTAAAACTAAGATATATTAATGCAGACACATATATTAATGCAGATTTAATGTATCAAGTCATTTAAATTCTTCTATATTCTTGTAGGATTGAAAAATAATGTTGAAATTCAATTATGACTGTTTACTTGTTAATTTTTCATATTAAAATAAATTGAGCTTCAAAATTTTAATTTTAATTTTTAAACATGTTTATAATTCGAAAAAACAGGGACGTTATAGGGAGTAATATTTTGAATATTCACACTGCATTTGAAAGTTAAAATTGCATCCCCATCTATTTGGATGTTTGCATCTGGTGTAATTATTGCAGATTCAAACAAATTTGAATCTTGTTGCTACTTTTTTTATGTACACAATTTAATTTTCTAAAACCAAAAAAATATACAGCATCAATAGATGTGCACATTCAAATCTCCATATCTGCTTCCTTTTGAGGATGACAGAAAATGGTATCTACAACAAACCTAGTTGACAGAGATTTATTCTACTATTTCAATAATAAATTATATAAATGCCATGTGGATTAGAAATTAATTTGTTGCTGGCCAAGTAAATGTAAGTGTAAACATGTTTAAAAATTTATCATCACACAATTATTGGTGGTCCAAAATTTACAGTACAAATATATATTCCAAAGTGGATTGCAAAATAAATAGAAAACTATATTAATTTTTCCAAGTACAAATTCATCCCATGAGCCATAGAACATTGGCATCTGCCACAAACCTAGTTGACAGATTCTACTATTTCTAAAATAAATTAAATAAATGTCATGTGCATTAGAAATTAATTTGTGGCTGGTCAAATAAATGTAAACGTAAACATGTTTAAGTATAAATAAATAAAATAAAATTACATATATGTATTCCAAAGTGGTTTGCAAAACCTTATAATTATATTAATTTCTCCAAAAACAAGTTCATCTCATGACCCATAGGATTACCTTAAATGATGATACTGTCAGCTGGTTATATTATGACTTTAAACCAATACAGTGACTACAAAACAATTTTTTTCGCTTTGCAATGATTGATAAACACTTTAATCTTTAGCTGTGTATCTATTTGATCTTCAAAGGAAACATTAAAGTATTTTATCCGGTTGGACTCAAAATTGGTTAAAAATAGGTCATTAAAATCATATTGTGTATTAAAATTAAACAGCATTATAATGTAATACAATGCACAAATTAGTGTTAGCAAATTTTTATTCGTAAAGCTATTCTGCATGTACCAAATAAAAATCCTATAAGAAATACCATGCCTCTAATTGTACTGGATTAAACATTAAAATAAAAATATTTTTACAAAGATTAAAATATTTTTACTTTGATTTTAATTTGCTGTTGTTGTCTGCTTGTGCATAGGACTATTCTTTATTTAAGTAAGTCACATTTTAAAGTAATTACTCGGTAGAAATATATCTCTGGTAAGGAGTTAGTCCAAATTTCTTCCCTTGTATTAAACAGAGAAAGAAGTTTGGAGGAATTATAATTCTATTCTAGGCAATGTTGAATGAATATCTGTGTCGCATTTAATTGGAACGGCTGACATGATCTAGATGTTTTTATGTATGATATATTACAATTAATAAGTTTGCACATTCTTGTGTGTAATAATCTCTAGAAATAAGCTCCTAATCAAAATGCGACCATACCGCCATAAATTCCTCTGCTTAAAAAAAAATGTAAGGGTAAGATATGTTGGAAAAAAATATTTAATGTCCTCAATCAACCTTTACACATCCCATCTGTCGACACGTTGAACCAGGTTTAAATATTTCATTTGCTTATGACTGTTATTGCTGTCACGAAATGAATTTCGTATCCCCACACTGCACACCACATGACAAATAAGTTTTTTGGTGTACTATTAATATTTTTACAGTAGTCTGAATTATTATTTTTCAGTCTATCATTCTATCAGGCTAATGATCAGTTAGCTATGATCGAGCTACCCCAAAAATTGTGACAGAAAAGGAGTATTAATCTCTTTATAATCACTTATGATAGCAATTTATTCTGGTATTCCAGAGAGCCTGTATCAATTGAGCGTTCAGTCTAATCCGTCTTAAGTTTCGTCCGTGTGGTGATGGATTAAGAATACTGTCGAGGGAGTGTCACTAAATCACCACCCCTATTCATCCCGTGGGTGTCGTAAGAGCCGATTAAGGAAGCAAACTATGTTGGACAAAAGCACTGCAAAGAGAAAGAAATCTTGACATAAAATCAATACCCACCCGTCTGGCCAGCGTAGTATAGTAGGCCAAAACTTCCTTTTTAAGGAGAGGCCTATGTCCAGCAGTGGACAATTAAAGGCTATTGATGATGATGATGATGGTTCAATCTAATTACGGTGTTTAAGTTAATAGTTTCTAACGTGGTCCTACCGCTTTCTAGCGGTAGAGGACCACGAACTTCTGTTTAATCAACTTTAAACATAATTTACCCTTATAATACACAATTTATAATAGTAGTCCCCTAAAGGGACTCGCTGTGTTTGCTGGAATTGTTACGTAATTTCGCTAACTTGTAAACGAAACTGTATCCACCTACACGAATATTAAAGGTCACAAAATGGAGATCTTAGAATAAAGATGATGTTTGTTAACAACTCGACTTCATTGAAGAAATATTTATGTATGCTTGTTGTATACAATTCATCGAAAAAACGCTAAGGGATTAATCTTATATACTTTGTAAGCAGAGTACTTGCCGAATTTTAATCACTTACGTGAAAGGAGACAAGCTTATTGCGGTCAATGGGGCGTTTTAGGAATTAGATGGGAATATTGGCAGTTTAACATGAAAGGAAAAGTTGTTAACATGGGAAGAAAAGAGAATGATTAGACGGACGGATGGGAAGTGTAACCAATGGCTTGGATGAGTCAGGGTCGCATATTTGAGGCCTTAGTGCGATTTTATTTCACATCAACTCGCTCTCGACGGCGAGCGCGTTTGGCGTTGCGATTGGTGGACCAATTAATCACAACTCGATCGACTTGAGTGAAATAAACTCGCACTTGGCCGTCTGTTATCCGAACTGACTGTTGCCAGAAAGTCTAAGCCCTCTAACCGATTTTCTAAATGCACATTTATCTGGATGATGTTCCAAATATAAATTAACTCGTTGCAGAATATTTATGTAGTCAAATAATAAAAAAATAATTACCATATCTATTATTTCGTTAGCTGCGAAGCGTCTCAGTATGTGTACTAAATATACAGGCGAAAGGGGAAAGCTTAGCATGATTTTTTGTAGCGTTATATTTAATTTATCGTGAATGAAATGTCTTTCTGGGGGCACCGCAGTGCCTCCGTCAAAACTAACCAAGCGAAGCGCACCCTCGGTAAGGTAAGGTAGGAGTAATGTAAAAAAATGTATCCATTGTTCATTACTACATAAAGTCAAATAATTAAAAAATAATTACCATACCCATTATTTTATTAGCCGCGAAGCGTCTCAGTATGTGTACTAAATATACAGACGAAAAGGGAAAGCTTAGCATGATTCTTTGTAGCCTTATATTTAATTTATCGTGAATGAAATGTCTTTCTGGGGGCACCGCAGTGCCTCCGTCAAAACTAACCAAGCGAAGCGCACCCTCGGTAAGGTAAGGTAGGAGTCATGTAAAAAAATGTATCCATTGTTCATTACTACATAAAGTCAAATAATTAAAAAATAATTACCATACCCATTATTTTATTAGCCGCGAAGCGTCTCAGTATGTGTACTAAATATGAGTATACAGACGAAAAGGGAAAGCTTAGCATGATTTTTTGTAGCCTTATATTTAACGAAATGTCTTGCCGGGGGCACCGCATTGCCTACGTCAAAACTAGCCAAGCGAAGCGCACCCTTGGTTATGTAAAGTAGAAGTAAGGTAAAAATATGTATCCATTGTTGATTACTTTTCTGTTATACAATAGTTTTTGTAGTAACGAAACGACCAAGACACATAGCCACTTATTTTGACTAAGGTGTAAAAGCTTGTGATGTTAGGGCGTGTACAGTTACGTCGGGGCACCAGGGATTTCCTTTCTACGGTACACCTGGTTCCCCGACTACTGGTACCTGAGACGGCGGGCGGTTTTAGTCGGTTCGAGTCCCATTGCCATTGCCACCGGTAAGTGGTATCCGAGGGGATTTCCGCACAGAAAAAAATAAAAATAAAAAGGGCGTGTAGAGTTAGAAATTTGGCTCTACATGCAATCTGATAACTTTTTAATAGTGCCAGCCTTGCAGGTCTCGTCTTGGCAACATTTTACATGAAAATGTTTTTTGGTGGGATGTGACTATGCCAAATATATTATAGTTTTATTACAAAAACTCAGACCAGTCTTAACAAGTTAGTCCATAGTAACACGAAAACTACATTTTAACGGTTTTTACTTAGTAGTTTATTATACATATATAAAACACTTGGGATTAAATTGTTTTGCAAAATACATAAGCTATTTCAATTACTTAGTAGAAATGTAACGTGCCCTTCAATGTTTCTTCTTACCTTATTAATATCGTATTCTATCACTTCTATCTCTTATGTTTTTCCTTTTTTACCTTGTTTCAATTATATTTACCTTGTTTTTGTATTTGGCTGCTTTTAATTTATTTACTTTTAATCTAAATATTGTTATAACACTCTCTGGTGACTTAAAAAAGTGGCCGTGAATTTGTTTGTCGGATTTCTTTTAACAAAACTCAACCATTTGAAACCGTCGGTTATAGATCTACACAGACACATATTATATTATCTATTATACATATCTTTTTTGTTATTTTACATTATACACCTTTTGCATTTTTAGTATTTAATAATAATATTTTAGAGCGATGTGGACGCTTAGCGACAAAGCCCTTCAATAATTGTCAATTATCCCACGTTTACCCAAATATCGACTATGAAATTCATAAATAAAACTTTTGCCCATAGGTGGAGACCAGTCTTTACAATGGCATCAAGCAGGGGATGTTACTCGAAGTGTGCCACAAGAATAATCCAGACATCTACTGGATAGCTGAAATCACAATGGTCTGCGGCCACCTCCTCAGAATCAAGTTCATAGGCGCGGCAGCAGATTTTTGGTGTGACATATCAAACACGAAGGTGCATCCTTTGGGCTGGTGTGGCAAATACGACGAACTCATTGAACCACCGGATGAAATTAATGAGAAGTATGGAGATACGATCATTGATATGATGAAGAAGGCTCTTATGGATGGCCAGTCGGTGTCGATAGAGGCTTTGAACAATAAGGGTCTGTCGCCTATAGATAGAATAAAGGTTGATATGAAAGTTGAAGTACAGAATGTTATCGATCCGTACAGATACTGGATAGCTACTGTGAGTATAAGTTTATTTATGGCTTTTTCCAGTAATACTTCGCCCGAGGAATCTTAGTGATTTTCTACCTAATAATACTTTCATCCTAACAGCCTATAACAGTCCACTGCTGGGCTATCCTCTCCTTAGAAAGGAGGTTTTGGCCTACTATACCACTCTGGCCAGACGGGTTGATATAGGGTTTGTTTCAAGTTTTCATTCTCTTTGCAGTACTGTTGTCCTTCGTAGTTTGCTCCCTTAGTCGGCTCTTACGACACCCACGGGATGAATAGGGGTGGTGACATTCCGTATTCTTAATACGTCACAACATGAACTTTACTAATACTTTACCTCAATAATTTCCTTGTGCTTTTTATAATTTATAAAATCTGCATCTAAAGTTTTAGTACGTATCATTTATGTTAGCCACGGGCCATGCCGAGATTATCATGGGTTTATTTCTTAAGTTATATCCGAGCTTCATTCCTCAGTACTATGACGAAACATTGTGTAATTAAGAAAACATTTTTTTTCTTATTTCTGCATTTAAAAACGTAGCACGATTGCGAATCGTAGTTAACCGTAGTCGCAAACAATAGCAGAAGGAATAGTCTCAGGTCAAATGAGGTTTAACCGATTCTGTAAAGCCTTAATTCGCATCCCGCCAGGTCAATACCTTATATAATATGATTTACTTAAACTTAAAAAGTATTTATTGGAAAGATACCGCCATAGCATTTGAAAGCATTCCATTATTGATTGCTACTGGTAGCAATATTTATTCAGTTTTTAAAACGTTTTCATTAACTTGGTATATATATTTGTCTATGTAACGGAGTCTTTGAACGTGATGTTCTCCTACTTTAATTATTTAAAGTTCTGTATGTAAGGTAAAGAACAATAAACGACAAAAAGCTAGTAATTCTCTTTAACTATAGTTCTCTTTAGGTTAGGGAAGTACTTCTGTAGTCTGGCGGTTCCGAACTTGGAAGACAATATATATCCTTTTGAAATTACACTTTAGGGTATGTTGCTTGATTGTTTTCATATAAAATCATCTACGAGGTGGAAACGATTTAACTGAGCCACACCTGTAAATAAGTGAACGGTTTGTCTAAATATAGCATTGGGGTGCTTTAGGCTCGAGGTTTTCTGTACGCCTAGATTAAAGGCGTGTAAAATATCAAATATAAAATCGTAACGTAAGAAAATAAAATATTAAATTGTTTTTTTTTTGTGAGACCCTTTCATACAAAGGTTTACTTACAATGCTATTATGGGAGAGTAACCAATATTGAACCGTCGCTTAAATGGAACCACTTATGTATTTACAACAAAATGGCATTATTTGGTACAGTATATTGACACAAAAAGGAGCGCTACAAAACGGTGGAGTATTAGTCAAAATGGCGCTGTTAGCGCTCTTTTTTTTGTTGCTAGTTTAAAAAATAGTGTCATTTTGGTAGAAACACAGAAGTGGTCCAATTTAAGCGCCGATTCAATATTGGTTACTCTCACCTATATTCAAAAGAACTAAAATCTAATATTGTCTGTTTACGTTTGACTGCCATGGTGATGTTTTTCGAGTGTATATTTATTTCTGTACTCTAAACGGCTCGAAGTGTCGTTAGATTCGTCTTAATTGTGAGTAACACGGTGTATATCATATATATAAAATTCTCGTGTCACAATATTCGTTCCCGTACTCCTCCGAAACGGCTTGACCGATTCTCATGAAATTTTGTGTGCACATCGGGTAGGTCTGTGAATCGGCCAACATCTATTTTTCATACCCCTAAATGGTAAGGGTGACCCATCCCTAAATTTTTTTTGGCAAAACAACGTTTGCCGGGTCAGCTAGTGAATTTTATAAAATTACTAGCTGGACCCACGCTACTTGTTCTGCGTCTGTCAAAAAGAATAAACTTGCCCCGTTTTTTCAACATTTTTCATTGGTTCTCTGCTCCTATAGGTCGCAGAATAAAAAAACATTATGTAGTGAACCGAATAGTGAATCTAAACCATTCTCGAATATATCAAAATTGGTTCAACCGTTTAGGAGGAATTCAGTACACCAGGGACTTCCTTTCTCACCAAGGACTTCCTTTCTAGTCTATACCTGGTTCCCCAGCTATTAGTACCCGAGACGGCGTGCGGTTTTAGTCGGTTTGAGTCCGACATGACACCGATAGGTGGTATCCGAGGGGATTTCCGCCCGGAAAAAAAAGGAGGAATTCAGTCACATACATAGTTATACGAGTAGCTTTTACTTTTGGAAATTGTGCGTCATTCAAGCTAGTTTTTTGGTTTTACTAAACTATAATGGTTATCCAAGATATCCTAGAATATATCATACGGTTCCAAGAAATTACATTTAATTAGCATATGTTTAAATATCATTTGTGAATATTTCTAAAATTGTTTCAAATAAAGAAAAAAAAATACCAATCGCAAATTATGCAACTCTCACTTTTAGCAGTCAGTTTTATAACTGTTCTAATAATATATTGCGTTTAACAACTTTTTCTTTTCTGTTTTTTTTTTAAGATTTAAAGAAAAGTTTTAATTTGGACGTATGTTTTTTTAAGTGAAAACTTCTTTAGGTGCGTTGGGCATTTTTAAACAACAAACAAAAGAATGTGACACTGTTTCCGTTACCGACACCTCTATATTATAAGGATCTACATATATTGGTCCAGTTTACACGAGAGTTGAGTTTGGGTTGAAATACATTGAAAATATAAATATACACAACATAAATATATATTCATATCGGAACTTCTCGAATCTAAAAAACAATCAAAAATCCTGTTATAATTTAAAAAAAAAACAAGTTTTTAACTCTGTCGGCTCTCCCGGAGTGCATCTGTTTTTTTTATAAATGATGTTACCTCAGAACTCCGTCATTTATGAAACTATTTAAAAAAAATCCAATCCGAAGGGTGAAAAGTAAGGAATAAAAAAAAACAAATTACCTACCTACTACAATTACAAAAAAAAAGGGGCGGTTACTCGGTTATTTTAATATTTTAAAGTTAATTTTGTTAAAATGTCTTTGTTGGGTTTAGACTACTAACCTAGCTATACCGTTGTATAACCTGTAACAGAGAATGATCTATTTTCGAAATGACGGTGTAGGCTATGGTGAATTACATACGTGTTTATAGCGCAGTAGAACGACTATATTTAACTCAAGGTTACTAGTAATACTTAATAGATTTTTATAGTTAAATAAAAACATACTATTGATAGGTTAATAACTAGCGTTTGGTTTGCATATACATGTAGAATATGTGTTGTAGACTTCATTAATAAGGTTATTTTATCTGTCTAGAGTCGTTGGTAGTTTTTTTCCAATCTGCATAATACTTATTTGTTTAGTCGATTAAGTAACTTAATTTTACAAGTTGTTTATTATTTAAAAAACCCATGCCATAGGAGTTCGAGATTTAAGATTTTAATGTCATCTTAATCGTGCAGGTCGTTGTTAAATCGACCAAGAAATTCTCATTCTTAGCCAATTAAAATGAGAATAAGCTTATTATTGACAAAAATAAACACGACAAAAAACAAAAAAATACTTAAAATTTACAAACCGGCTATTTGAATGTTTATAATTTTCATTTACCCAGTGTCAGTCTCACACTTAAGACGAATCTAACGACACCTCAAATGCAAAAATCTATCAAGCCCTTTTATCCACACATACATACAGACACTCAACTCAACAGCACTACAAAGAGAAAACTTGAAACAAACAATATACCAACGCGTCTGGCCAGCGTGGTAAGTAGGCCAAAACCTCCTTTCTAAGAAGAGGCCTAGGTCCAGCAATAGACTATTAAAGTCTGTTGATGATGATGATACATACACTCGAAAACATATACATATAACCCTTGAGGCGCAGTCGGGTAAAAAGACTATGGATGATATCTTTTGAGTCTGTAAAAGGCGTGATGATATACATTAAAGAACATAATTAATAAACAATCAGATTGGTTGTAAATCCACGTAAAGATAACGAAAAATTGTCAGTCGCACGTGATTTCTTTTTAATAACAATACCGTTACAAGAACGTTACGTAGCTATTTAGAATTATGTTCAAACATGATATGATACTGTAAGCATTAATACCGATGATATTATGAATTAGGCAACTTTGATACGTCTTAATTGATGGTAGTTGACATTCAGTGGGCCCTCTTTAAGCGACTGTAAATAATATAAATATATATTGCTATTCATAAAACGTCCGTCTGGTGTCACCACCCCAGTTCATCTCGTGGGTGTTGTAAGAGCCGATTAAGGTAGCAAACTGAGCAGGAAAACAGCACTAGATAGAGAAGGAAAACTTGAAACAAACCCTTTTTTTTTTTTTTTTTTACGTGTGGAAATCCCCTCGGACCGTCACCCCTCCGGGGTTTGCGGCGGGGTGGGGTGTCGGACTCGGACCGACTAAAACCACACGGTGTGCCACTCTGCGCCTGTAACAGGAGGGATCCGGGAACAGCTGTTATTAAGACATCCGGACCCCTCCTAGCGCCAGCCCGCTCCTAGTGCGGGCTCCGTCTCAAAATTTTCCTCTCTTTAGGCTACGTCCGGCACACGCGGACGCCGCCCCCTCGCGGCTGGCCAAACTAATGCGGGTGGAGGGGAAACCCACCCCGTCCACCCGCGGCCACACTCAGGGCGGCATGAGGCGGTGATAGGCGCTTGAACTTGAAACAAACCCTATACCAACCCATCCGGCCAGCATGGTAGAGTAGGCCAAAACCTTATTTTCAAGGTGACGCCTATGTCCAGCAGTGGACTATAAAAGGCTATTGATGATCTTGGAAATCTTTTCTACCAGTACATTTGTGCTAGGCAGACATATTCATCATCATGAGCCTATCGCTGTCCCCTGCTGGACATAGGCCTCTCCCATTGCACGCCACTTAGATCGATTTTGGGCTTCTCGCATCCAGCTCCTGCCAGCCATCTTGCGCAAATCGTCACTCCACCTGGCCTGTGGGCGTCCTACATATTATATTCAATTAAAATATCCGCTAATAATTTTGCGACCTGACGTTTTTCTGGGGGACACTAGATAAACGTGATTACCTATATGATGTTCTGTCACAGATATAACTGAGAAAAGAAATCACTGAGTATTTAATATTATTTAACGGGAATTAACGCGATCTCTTATTTAGGGAATTACATACCTCTGGTTTGCCTGACGTTTCGACCAGGTTGCACCGGCCGTGGTCACAGGCTGACTATCACTGAGTACTCTGTCAAATCAGAATTAACAATGCAAAGTTTAGATTCTGACCTGTTTTTCAAGTGGTTAGTGATCCTGACTGCTAAGCCAGAGGTCGTGGGTTCGATTCCCATCCAGGAAATTCTGTATAGAAACAAATAAGTATGTTTATTACCAGTCTGGTTGCCATAGCACAGGTTCCTGTCTAGTTTGGGATCAGATGGCCGTGTGCGACATGTGTAAAGTTATAATTTTCATCACACAGTCTTTAGATAGACATACTAGTTTAAGAGTCTAGGTTTTAAATCAATTATTGCTTAGATATATCTACAAAAACAAGTAAAAATCTAAATCCGTCTTTGTCTCCCGTAGGTGTGTGAGAATGTGGGCGGCCGCCTCCTGCTGCGCTATGATGGTGCCGACGACGACCTGTCGCAGTTCTGGATATTCTTCTCCAACCCTCGACTGAGTAGCTTCGGCTATGTTACCAATAAGGTAAGCTTAACATTTAAATATCTGTAATGTATCATTTTATTCATATTTAATATCCATAGTGCAAATCTATACAAATAAATAAAATTGGAGTGTCTGTTTGTAATATTAAAATAACCGCTTTTTACTAAATGCATATGTATGTTTACACGGTACATATGCCAAAATAACATTTTTTTCAATTTTTGTCTGTCTGTCTGTTTGTTCCGGGTAATCTCTGGAACGGCTGGACCGATTTCGACGGGACTTTCACTGGCAGATAGCTGATGACATAAGGAGTAACTTAGGCTACTTTTTTTTAGACTAGCCTTGCCCCGCGGCGTTGCCAACACAACAAACGCGGGTAACACCGCGGGTCTCAGCTAGTCTATATATATAAAAGAAGAAACTGACAGAATATATTCACTGACTGATCGATCAACGCACAGCTGAATCCACTGGGTCTAGAAGCATGAAATTTTGCACAAACATTCCCTAAGGGGGTTGGAAATTTTCTAGGGTATACCTGGTTCCCCGGCTATTAGTACCCGAGACGGCGTGCGGTTTTATTCGGTTCGAGTCCGACATGCCACTGACAGGTGGTATCCGAGGGGATTTCCGCACGGAAAAAAAAGGGGGTTGGAAACATATAAAAAAACAGTTATTTTTTGTAGTAGCGTTTTCAAACTCAGTAAAAACTCTTTATTTAAATTAATCAAAAACGTAGTTACTAATTTTTCAAAATACCATCAAAAAGGGATGCAAGTCAGTGTGGAGAACTGTATTTTTTTGACTTATCGATTCCAAATTCTCAGTATAATTATTATTCTTTATCAAAAAAAAAATTAGACACATTTTTTTTACTTTTCAAAACATAAGTGTGTTTGCTACTCAATACCGCTAAAACGGCTTTCGGGATCTGGACGAGATTTGGCACATACATAGATTATAGAATCTAGATAAAGATCTAAAATAGCAAAAAGGCTACTATTTATCCTGGTTTAATTTAGTAATAAAATTGACATTAACGCGAGCGCGTATTTTTCACAATCTAGTAATATAATGGAACATATGGCTTAGGGTTGGCACGATGTCAAAGCAGTATCACGAATTTTGGCAGAATTATTTGGTATTGTTTAAAGAAATGAAAAAGAAATTCTATTAGAATAACAACATTCGTGAGTGGTATTTGTATTTTCAAAGATATATTGGTTTTAATTCACAACAACAATAAAAAAGTTTAAAATGGAAATGGTCAGGTCATACAATTAGAGGGAAGGAGAAATGGTCGAAATCGGTAATGAGAGAGAAAGAGTCAGGTCATAAGAGAAAGAAAAAAGGTAGGCTAGTTATAAGATGGGTGGACGATATTAAAGCCGTAGCAGGAGGCACAATAACAAGAACTGCTAAAGATTAGAGAGGAATTGTAAAGGTTAATAATAATAATTTCACACATCTCACACGCGGGCTTCTCATTCCAAACTATGCAGGGCCTGGACTATGGTAACCATACTGCTGATAAACATACTTATATATTTCTAAATACATACATATCATAAATAAATTACACCCAGACACAACAAATCATCGTGCTCATCACACAATTATTTGTCCTGGGTGGGAATCGAACGCTGACTTTATTATTAGCAGTCAGCGTTACAGACCATTGGACTACTAAGTTAAATAAAACTAAACTTTTTTTTATAATGTTTATATTAACTATTTTTTATTAAACTTGTGATTATTCAAATAAATGAAAAAGAAAAAATATATATGAAGAAAATCGATAGTTGATCGGAATTGCATTTTGACCGAACTTTTATTATGAGAATTGGCCTTCAGGTCAAAGTCCGCATACTTGTAACTTAAATTGGCTATTGCCTGGAAGGCCGAACTGAAACACATGTCTCATATTGTATGAGTACAAACTCTATTTAGTACCAACATAGAGTTAATTTAAGTTCGTGTAATCTCCTTTGAGACAGGGTTGGAAAGTCCCAGACTTATTTAAGTCACATTGGTTATTCAGTGAATGAACTATTCATTGTTATTGTTTTGTTATCACACCTTTACCACATAGGGCATTAGAGTTAAAATACAAGGATAAAGATAAGGGATAAAAATAGCACGAAGTACAAAAGTAAGTGACTGCACCGATGGCGTAGTAGTTTTAGCGGTCACCACGCCGCTTCCTACTGCGTCGAGTGTTCTGGGTCCGATCCCCACAGCGGCCTACATTTTGTGCGATCTACAAATTGTTGTTCTGAGTCTGGGTGTTCTTTGTGTCCGTTTACTGCGACAAGCGATATATCCCTAGTGCGGGAGTTCTTTTTTTAAAATAAGAACTTAAGTTACGAAAAATACAGTTTTTTTTAAATAAATAGTATATATATAGAAGTTGTTGTGTGTTATGTGAAATGTTATTGTAACCGATTTATTTTTAATACAAGACTAAAAAGACGACAAAAATGTAGGGTAAAACTAAGAGGTTAATAATAATATTCCACCTAATAAATTTATCAAAGTGTATTACGGCTGTGTATTTAAAAGTTGACTTTCAAAGTTTTTTCAGTCAGTCTGCCACAGAGATCAGTATTTAGCGGGTACTTGCTAAGTTTGATTGCTTTGTAGCCTCGGGCAGAGACTAATAATCGAAATTAAATTAAAGCTCGAGTCTTCGGTTATGATTGTCACATTTTTATAGTACAGCACTTATATTCTTGTCAGCTGGTCCCTGTTTTCCTCAGCTAGAAGAACAATTACTTCGGTCATTGCTCTGGTATATCTGTAGATGCATTCCTTCCTTTGAACTCGTTGGCTCGTTTTGATAAGACGCCAGCGTTCTGTGTAAATTGAGATTTTTCTTTTATCTTTAAACAATACTTCACGGTTGCGGTGAAATTAAATGGTATGTTAATAAAATTTGCATACACTTGTTGATCATTAATAAGTGGGAGTATTATTGTTGTACAAGTAATTATAACAATATAATCCAGTTGTTGATGTCAGTTTTTATTTAAGGTTAAAACATTACGTTTTGTGGAAACTTCTTCAGGTCATTAATAAATGTTTTTTAACAATTAAAAAACAAACTAACTTAAAAACGACTGGCCTGTTGGTTTAGTGGTAAACGATTCTGGCCGCTAAGACAGTAGTCGTGGGTTCCATTCTCACCAAAAACACATAAATGTGTGATGAGCACGATCATTTGTTCTGTGCCTTAGTGAAATTTATATATAAAATATGTATGTCTTTAAAAAGTAAGTTTATCAGCAGTATGGTTACCCTTGTACGGCTCTGCTTAGTTTGGGTTTAGACGGTGTGTGAAGAATGTGTAAATCTATATGTACAAAATATATATAGCATATAATTTCATCTTCTTCCATATTAAAATATTTACACAATATACTAAAATACTCTAGATATCGGTAACTACTGGTAGCGTGCCAAAACATAGTCTGTCGGTTTTTTTCTAGTATTGTTCACCAATATAGTGGTGGAAATGGTTTAACTGATTAGGTGGTTAAAGGAAGGGGCAGACAGCGGGCACGGCGACGTGTACGTAGTCGAAATGTAAGTACCGGGGCTGAGTGCGACCGCGTGACGCTTTGTGACATGACATCTTTTAACCGACTTCAAAAAGAAGAGGGTTCTATGTTCCACTGTATGTATTTTTTTATGTATGTTCACCGTCAATTGTGGACCAATTTTTAAAATTATTTTTTCTAGTACATAATTATATTGTAACGCGTTTACGCCGCGTCGTCTTCGCGCCCCGCCTTCTGTATGCTCCAGCCATTTAAGTTTCGGCCTACACTTGAGTTCTTAAAATTGAACAGTGTAATTTCATTAGCTAGGTCTAAGTATTAATGATAAAAAAGAACGAATAAAGTTAAACTGATACATAAACGAGTTTAATTTAAAAGTTTAAGGCATTGTTCATTAAATTAGAATATTATGTCTCTATACCAGATCTTTAAGTCGTTTAGTTTCTGTAAATATCATAAAAAATTATAACACAATTTGCCTAACACTGTTTGCGACGTTACAACGTTAAAAATTCTACTAACCCAGTTGTTTGATACAAGTTAGGATTGCTATTGTATGATTATAATATACTTTAATATACGAGTATTTAATTTACCGCGATAACATACGAGTTGTATTGACCTCAATCCGGAGAGTACCAAACTGCATTCTAAATGTCTTAATTAATTGAAACTTATTGATAGACTTGTTTTGTGCCATTTGTTATATTTACATGTTAAATATGTATCATATAATAAGGATGGCGCAGTGGTTTGTGTAACGGACTGCTATTCCAAAGGTCGAGGGTTCCATTCCCGCTCAAGTCAAACATTTGTGTGCATGAGCATTTAATGTTTGATTTTGTCTGGGTGTTTCAATGTATAATATGTGTTTACAAAAAAAAAAAAATGTATTTATATCAGTTGTCTAGTACCCATAGTACAAGCTCTGCTTAGTTTGTGACTAGATGGCGTTGAGTGAATGTGTTAGAATATTATTTTTATTATTAATTGCAAGTGTTATATAGTAAGTTATAAGATTTATATTTGTACTGATCGTATGACAAGCGTGAAAGAGATTAAGTACAGAGTAGATTACGACCTAAATTTTATCTAAAATAAAATGCGGTGAGTCATTACTGCTAGGCTGGTATGTATAGTCACCACGGCTTAATGACGGGCCTGTTGGTCTAGTGGTTAGTAACCCTGACTGCTAAGCCGGAGGTCGTTGGTTCGATTCCCACCCAGGACAAATATTTGTGTGATGAGCACGATCGTGTCCGGTGACGGATTAGGAATACAGAGTGTCACCACCCCTATTCATCCCATGGGTGTCGTGAGGTAACCAACGGAGCAAACTACGCAGGAGAACAGCACTGCAAAGAGAAGGAAAACTTGAAACAAACCCTATACCAACCCGTCTGGCCAGCGTGGTATAGTAGGCCAAAACCTCCTTTCTGAGGAGAGGCCTATATCCAGCAGTGGACCATTAAAGGCTGTTGATGATGATGCTGATGAGCACGATCGTTTGTTTTGTCTGGGTGTAATTTATCTATAATATGTATGTATTTAGAAATATATAAGTATATTTATCAGCAGTCTGGTTACCATAGTACAGGCTCATTATTTTTTATTATTATCATTAATAGCGACAGAAAATGTGTAGGGCATGAGTGACGTCACTAATGGTGCTTAACATCGCTTAATGACAAAATATAGGAAAACTTTTAAGGTCCCTACACCATTAAATATAATTATTATATGAAGGATAAGCAGTTTAACTTACGTGTGTATTTCGGGGATGCCCAATTAGTTTCGGACCTGTGACCTGACCATCAAAGGGTGAAGTGACCTACCGCGACGGTGTCAAGAGTAGAGTAGAGTACTAAAACTAGATGATTAAACAAAGTCGGGCATTCCATGAAACATACACGTAAGTAAAATCGATAACTCTTTTAAAATATGAATACTACTCACGATATCTTTTATAAATATCATCACGATATCTAATCAAAGGCAAAAAAAGCCATCAAAATACCACGGTCTGCTTTTCATCTAATGAATGAGCCAAGAAAGAAGAATCCGAGTCTGACGATGAAGACAAGGGCTTCGGACTATTTGACTAGCAGCATTGTTAAGTGTACGCGGCGTTGGTTGTTATTCCATTTATGGTGTAAGCATAACATAATGCATATGTGTCTATGAAATGTATTGCTATTGATACTGAACACCGAACCTCTCCTCCCCCTGATTCCACGGGGTGGGGCGGGGCCTCAAAAAGCGGCACCGCAACTGTGACTTTTGAGTTCCAGGTTTCCATGAGCGCCAATAATCACTTATCATGAGGTGATCGGTCCGCTAATTTGCCCCTATGCTCTAAAAACCTATGATTCTTTACCTTTATCTTTTTATCATCAATACTTAAACTTTATACCGTTACTAAATAGTAACACCATATATTGCAGGGTTCTCCGTGGCAATTCAAGTACCCGGGCAAGGTGAACAAATTTTCATGCAAGAACAAACTGAGCACGCAGCTGCGACAAAGCGCCGAGGAGTCCATTAAAGAACCTACACCCGCAGACCTGTTCCAGGTAGGTGGATGATTTTTGTACTGACACCATGTAATGGTATGATGTAGTGATAGTTATATTGTGTTAGGAAAAACTGATAGGGGGATAGAGCTAGGGTAAGAAATACCTGCGAGTCTCGAGGACGCGTACTCACTACTTGTATGTCATGTGATTGGAAGGCAACTAGAAAAGAAAGATTCTTTAAGAGTTGAACTATACAGTACGCTAAGAGTTTGTACTCAGCCGTTTTTAGAAACAGTTAATCAGCAGATTACGAGGTCTGCTATTTATGTATCCGGAATAACAAAGTGAAACAAACATAGCATTTATTATAGTTTTATTGCTTTTCAAAATATTCGCCAATTTGGAACCAATTTTCGTAGCACTTTTTCTATTCTGATTGTGGTATCTCCAAAACGTTAATTTTGAACGTATCAACAGCCTCTTCAAGGCTCGAAAAACGTTGACCACGTAATTTATGCTTCAGGGAATAAATAAAAGTCGTTAGGGGCCAAGTCAAGGCTATACGGCGGATGACCCTTTAATTCGATGTTTTGATCTTCCAAATACTGAGTTGTTTCGGCCGATGTGTAGCAGCTAGCATTGTCACGGTGAAGAAGGATTCTACGTTGTCGGTTATTTCTTCAGACTTCTGGCAAACAAATGGTCGTGTACCATTCAGAATTAACCGTTTTACGATCCTCTAGTGGCACGGTCGAGTACTAGCCACATGTCCATTTATACCAAAAAAACAAGCGACCATTTGCTTCAGTGTTTTTTGAACGAATGACTTTGTTGGGTTCGACTCATCTTGGAACACCCAAACCGTTGATTGTTGTTTAGTTTCAGTATCCAAGATTCATCACCTGTGTAGATATTATAGACAGCTTTTGACGCACCCTGATTCTACTTTTGTAACATTTATTTACACCAATCGGCACGAGCCCATTGATATAATACTTACATAGATGAGTAATTACCGCCTAAAATCGTTGCTACTGCACATCTGTCCACAGGCATATGCGTAGCAAACGTCAATTCAGTGTTCAATATGGCGTCAACCGAGTTGAACATAGCGACACATGACAGTAACAATCGCCAAAATGGGTAAATGCGTAGTGAAAGAATGCGATTCAAGGTCACAAAACATTAATAAATCATGCGGAATTACTTTCCACGTGTTTCACTTATGGTTTTTGTATTGATAATATCGTAAATAAGGCTATAATTGAAATAAAACACTGATAATTGTAATTTAGAATCAGTGTTACCATTAAAAAATCATTTTGGTTTACCCACATTAGTGGGAGAATTTATAATTTATGAAATAATATGCTTTATACTGTTTTTAAACATTTTGCCAATAATAATAAAATATAGGAAGAACGGTAGTTGTTAGGGCTGGACCGATCACTTTTTTTAGGGACCCGTTGAACGTTCTTCTTGCTTGGTGCTGGAGACTTTTGTACAAAAGAATTAATTCATTGTTTTTCTTAATTTATTATCAATTTTAAATAATAATTGTACAAAAAAATAATATTAATATAAATAAATATTTTTTTTTTTTTTTTATAAAATATAAATAAAAAAAATAAAAAATAGTTTCTTTTATTTGTTTTTTAAATTATAATAGAATTTGCAATACACCCTGGGGATTATTTATTATCAGTACAAGTTGATCATTCACTTTTATTATTAAATGCTATTATTTTTACATACGTAAAAATAAGATTGTATCATGAAAGTAAAATATCCACACAAACTTATAAAAAAGAGTCTAAAAGACAATTGTATACAAACTGATGCTTCACAGCGCAGTTTGATTTTACACTGAATATAAACCCTTTTAACCAAATATTTCCAGTTATTTTATTATTTATACCTATTCCATTCAATTCGAAATATATTATTTAAAATATTTAAATTAATTTATTTTATTACAAAATTGTTTAAAAAAAATTGTTTCTTAGTTGTTATGGGTAAAATTTCATACGGTAGTCAACACTGGCCCACCATCGTAAAGTTATGTCTTTGTCTTTGTCTAATCCGAGCGATGGTATTGTTCTTGTCTCGCGTGTAAATGAGACATAAATATGTTTACTTTCAAATGTTTAGTGGTATTAAAGCTACGTCGTCAAAGTTCAAAAGTGGTTACACTTTTTTCGACGTGTGATAATGAGGTTTGCTTCTCTAGTGTTGTTTTAACTCAATGCACGAGCCCGTTTTTGGTCAATTCTCAAGTTATGCGGCGTTTTTGTGAACAAATTTTTTTACAGCGAAATTTTCGTGTAATATTTTATATATTCGTATACTCGTCATACTTATTCCCTGAGACGCCTCTATCTCGCGATATGTAACATGACGATCTTGCATTATTAGTTCCCGCACAGCATCAATATTTTGGGGTACAGCAACCGATTTAGGGCGACATTCTTTGAATTCGTCCGTGAGCCCTCGATTAAACTTACTAAACCAGTGATGCACTGTTGTTTTTGATAGTAATTTGTCCCCAAAAGTCGAAGAGAGTTGATCCGAAAATCGTAATAAATCATAGCACGAAAATTATCAAAATGACGCCACAAATGACAGCTACATGAAACAAATTGTATTCTTCAGCCAAAGAGTTCCATTTTTAAATGTTATAATTTTTTAATATTGTTCTGTAACTGGCCAGTTCCGGATACATAAATACCAGCCCTTGTAGATTACGTTTTGATTTTTGCATTTTTTTTTTAATTTATTTGAACCTGGCAGGCATTTTAAAGATATTGCTAATTATACTTGTTGACTTACTATGTCTTGATCAAACAAACGATTTTCCTGTGTGATAATCGAATCCACAGCTCTCCATATGACAGTTGTACTCTTAAACCAATGATAGAGACGCCTCAGTTCGTGTTAATATGTCCTTAAGAGTACTCACTTAACTATCAACATAATTAAATGACAACAGAAATTTTACATAAATAAAGTAAATAATTTAAGATTTTTTATTTTACAGCCGAACCAAAATTTAGAATCTCACAACTTCGTGAGCGGTATGAAACTAGAGGCCTTAGATCCACAAGACATGAAGTTTATTCGTCCTGCCACCGTTACTAAAGTGTTCAACAATTTCCACTTCCTAATAGTGATTGACGACCACGCTGAAGACTACGAAGATACCAAAATGGCGTGGTTGTGTGACTCCATGCACCCATACATTTATCCAATAGGATGGGCACAGAAAAATGGCCTAAGTTTTAAATCACCAAAGATATGGAAAGAAGAAAACTTCGATTGGGACGATTATCTTACAATAACGTCATCAGTTCCAGCCCCTGATTATTGCTTCGGGACCAAAACACCGTTGAAAGATATTAAAGTAAATATGAAATTAGAAGCAGTTAACCCACAAAATCATGAAGAGATCCACGTAGCAAATGTTGATGCCATCGTGGAGCATATGTTATGTGTTGAATTGTTACCAATTGGGGAGAAATATTGGTTTGCCCAAGATAGTGACTTGTTATTCCCTGTAGGATGGTGTGATAGCAATGATTATGCTTTACACATTCCTGATACGACTGTACAAAAAGAACCACCAAAACCAATTGAAGAAAAGGTAGTAAGTAATGAAAGCAAATCAGATGAATGGTGTGACCGAATTTTTTTTAATTATAAGTGCTACGCTGGACCATCTATTAGCAGGAATAAGTTGTCACAATTGCCGAAGCATGTGGGCCCAGGACCATTGTCACTAGTGCTCAAGGAAGTGCTGAATAAAATTATATCGGCGTCGTACAAGCCTGCAAAGTTGTTGAAGGATTGGGAGACTGAGGGACCACCAGAGGAGGGGATGAGGCTGGAAATGTTGAGAGCAAAGTGAGTATATTAAATTTTGTTAATATTACTATAGAATGTATGATATGATATGTGGTATGATATTAGCTTATTAGATATATGAATCCTGTAGAGGCCAATTTCCTGACAGTTTCGATTTTTAACAATCTTTTAACTGAATACATAATTGTTGAATTAAAAATAATTACCATTTAATTTTAAGTATTTAAAATATCAGTAGAAGATTTCACTATTAATATCACTATGATAAAATAAATTGCATATCAGATTTTTTTCACGATCAAGCGGTAGAGATGAGTAAATCTCTTGATTCAAAAAAAATCTTGACAATATATAAAAATCCTTAGCAATATCGGGTAAATTTTAGCAACTCAATCATAATAATAATTGCGTCTTCTGTATGTAGTTACGATTTGACGCATTTATAGAATAATTCTTAGGCTCGGATTTTTGTCTGGTGTATCTTTAACACTAAAAATGAATTTACAGAGTTATAGAGGAGAATACATGTGCGTGTGTCCCTCAGGTTGAAGACAAGCACATACCACGCGTACGTGCCGATAGCGCGCTCGTGGCGGCAGGTGGCGTCGTTCTGCCACGCGGCGTGTCGGCGCCTGCAGGCCTGCCCGAGCCTGTTCGGGCCCACAGAGTACCCCAACATGTGCCCCAACAACTGCCAGAACGTCGACAAGTCCACCTTCCGTATGTTCGCCTTTCCTTATTACATCACTCAGCACCAGTAGCCATTATATACCTTCATCGAACAGTAAAATATATAATAATAATCGTCCCCCTTCAATTCATTAGCTACTGTAATCAAATTCATTGTTTCAAGGCATTATTGTCATTTTGACTGTTCATACAGGAATACCTTGGCTCAAGCAAATTAATAATTAACATAATATTAAAATTGTTGGTGGGACGAGTCCCTGTTCAATGTTTATTATAATTTTTTACGCTATTTTAATTTGTCTCTTCATTTAGTTGTTGCAAAATATAATTTCATGTAAAATAATATAAATGACATAAATTATTTTAGAACCAGTCTTGATGATCTAACTCAATATGAATGTGAATTTACGCACACAAAATACAAAATTCCTGAGACGATACAAGCAATTGAATAGTTTTAGATATCTATTTTCCGATCCTAGTTTATATAAAGCCTTTTGCTAGTCTTGGTATCTCGAGAATCTATTTTATTATCCTGCTATACAAATAGAATTCGTAACATCTAAACTCTTGAAAACAATTTTATTGAAAACAATTTTAAATGGCGTTATATTACAGATACCTCGGAAATTAATTCTTGACTTTATCCATTACTTTCTCTTTAATAATCCTCTTGTAAAATATTAAAGAAAACCTTAAATAAGTAGTAATGGCAACAAATTTTTCATTTTAGATAATGGCACAGAACGTCGAGGTCGTCCAAAAGGCAGTCTCAACGGACGCAGGAAAAAGAGAAAAGCTGCCACAGAGAAAAAAGAGAAAGAAAAAGAGCCGCAACCAGCGCAAGAGTCTGAGAGCAACAAAGACGTGGAATCCATTGAGAGCGAGCACAGCGCAGGCTCCACCCCTCCTTCTGAGCAGGGCACGCGCCCAAACTCTCCCGACAGCGTCGAGTACAAGCGCACCCAACGCCGGAAACGCGAACCAAAAAATAATTACCCAAAGCTTGAAATGAAAACTCGTGGCGCTAAGCTTCCAAACTTCGCTCTCCAAATGAAAGAGGCTCATTGGAATAAGAAAGACATGCAAACCATATACAGCAATACATGCGTAAAGAAACAGACCTCACATGATAGCGATTCAGAGAACGAGACGAATGAAAGCAGTACGAATTCTAGAGATGCCAAAAATATATCAGATGTATCAGACTCTGAGGAACCCGAACTAAAGAAACTGAAGTTCAACACGTCTTACGATCCTCTGCCGTCTGATAACAAGATGTTCGAGAAAGACATGGCCATGTCGTGGATGAAAGGAAAGCTCAAACTGTCTTCGAATCCTCTAGACTGGTCGGTCGATGACGTTTACGCGTACTTAAGCAACACGGAGGATTGCAAACTCATCGCGGAGAAAATGAAACAAGAGGAGATCGATGGCCAGGCCTTCGTCATGTTAGATCTGCCTGTTATTAAGGAATTTTTACACATGAAGAAGGAATTCGCGTTACATTTAAGTAAACATATAGCTATGATGCGCTGGTATATAATCAATTTTGAGGAGAATAGTGAATCGTGATTTTGTATCTTATTCTATTCTTTATCTAGTCCACAATAAAGTATTTGTTGAATAATTATAATAAGTTGTATTTATTAAAAATATAACGACAAAACCTCACGATTTACGAAATTTACGACACAAAAAGTTGCATATTTTGGATATAAAAGATTTTTCAGATTCACGGTCATGACTGAAGTCCTCGTTGAGGTAAATATTCTTCTTAGCACAAGAAACCTTGACAGGTATTTCTCTATCCGGAACATCGCATTCTTCTTGTTCCTGTTCTACATATTTCTTAAGTTCCATCTTTTTGGCAGCCACTTGAATCATATTCTCTGCAGATGCTACTTGCTTGCCATGCTCAAGGGATTTGGAGGGTTTCTTTATATTTATTTCCGACAGTAGATTGCGATCATTCATTTTGATCTGTACACAAGGATTGCCGCTAAGCAAGTAAATATTGAAAACTTCTTCTTTCGCAGTTTCTTTTTCTTTATTAACTTTTTTTTCATTTAGAGTAGAATCAGTGAGATATTCTTCATTTTTGTAAGCCTCCACTATGGGTGCCAGGTTTTCGATATCAGATTTTTTGTTGAGACTGGTCAGTGTGAAAGTGTCCTCCACATGAATTGAGGTTTGAATAGACGATTCTGTCTCGTTGTCTTTTAGAGAGTCATCACTTTTCTTAGAATGATCTGAACTCTTGCTGTCGCACGACCTTTTACTTTCATTTGATATTGATGTATCAGAGGACATTATGTGTTGTATCATATCTTTAATGAAGTCTTCCATATCGGCAACTGCTTCCGTATCGTTCTTTGCAAGAATCTCATAAAATCTTTTCTTATAAAGCTCAAAGTCCCGCATACTGGCATAAAAATTGTCAAATATCTCTTGGACCGTAGTTTTAAAGAATTTTATGTTCGACTCCAGACTAGTGAGCGAGTTATCGTCAGTTTGAAGTTCCTGAGATATATTTTTGAAAATTTTCATTTCAAGTTTGTCAAGTTCTGAATTAGTCAGTGACCTTCGATCTCCAACATCAGTAAAATCGTAGAACTTTGAATCCTTGACAGGGATTTCATCGTGTTCATATTTTTTGTAGTATTCTCCCAAATTCCTGAGATTGTTAACTATGTTTTCATGCTTTATTTGTCTAGATCTTAAAAAGTTGATATCAGATTTGCAGCTGTTGTCAGACTCTGGTAAATGCTTTGGTATTCGTGGTGTGCAGAAACTATGGCGCATTTTAAGTTTTGACTCTGAATCGTCGCCTGTAAAAAATAAATAAATAAACAAATCGCGAACAGATCATGCAGATCTCTTTAAATCATGATTAACGACAAGCCGGATCGAATAGCTCTCTCTCTCTCTCTCTCAATAAATTAAATAAAAACCTGAGCAACCTTTGCAGGTATTTTATGAAAGTGGGGACACACGGTTCACCTGAAGGAATGTGATTACCGCCGCCTATGAACGCCTGCAACTCAGGAGTCACAAGCGCGTTGCCAGGCCTTTTAGGAAGGAGTACGCTCTTAGAAAATTAGTTTTTATCCATGTTTTATAAATTTATTGTAAATACCTACATTAAAAACAATGGGACAATTTGTGTTAACTGAAGCAAGTTTCTGGAGCTTAGGTTCTAGAATCAGTCATCCAATATTACAAACAGTAACCTACTGCTCAATAGTCTGCTAACTCGCAAAAGTCTGTAAAATACACAGTTCCATGATCCAAGGTTAAAGAGTATGAAGTAGCCGAAGACTCAAGGAAAATAGTCAGAAAGTAGGATTTCTAACAGAAATAATTCTCTATGTAACTAAATTAAAGATTATAACACTTACCCATTTTGTTTTATTGCAAGTCAAAACAAAATTTGATCGTGTATTACGATAGTGTAGGAATGGATTGCAACAGTTCTTGTTTGTAAATACGTTTAATTAGTTTTAGACTATAAGTATATGTAACAGCATTATAAAACTATCATGATTTAGGAAAATGCAAAGATTGACGTCAAGTTTACAAAATATGAAAAATAACCGAAATCCAAACGGTGTCGACTGTAATCTGTTTTTAAAAATAGCGGCTAAATTATTTGTGAACCATAGACTATAAATTGAACTTTAAAACAATATTATTGTTATTTCGTTTTAAACAATATTCTGAAAAGCGACCGCGTAGTAGTAAGTGATATATGTATTAAGTATTTGTTAAACCGGATTTGATATTTTGTCAAACATATTTGCCAAAATAAGATGATCATAAGATACGCTGTTCTTCACGGATCTGAACAATGGTCGATAAAGAGAATGGATGAGAGAAACCTGTCTTTAGCTGAAAAGCATATATCATATTTAGTGTGACTAGATTAAGCAAGGTGAGCAATAAATACATAGAGAAAGCGTGAAAGTAGAACCTGCGTTTGAAAAGTACAGGAGCAATAGGTTATCGTGGTATGGAAAATTTGGTCAAGAGTTTTATTAAAATGAATGGACCAAAAACTGAAAGATGGATGAACTGCGTAAAATAGAATATGGCTATAAAAGAAATAATCCGTCATATGACGAATGATAGAAGTTAATGAAAGAATGAGACACGTTGAGTTAAACCCAAATAAATTATCCAGAATCACTGCCAGATTCCCAAACAATTACATCATTTCCTGTCTCCTCCTGGTTTACATTTGTGATTTTTTGTCACGAGTCGACGTTAATCTATACACAACAAGGCTGAATTGTCCAGTACTTGTTTGATCACGAACGTCACACAATAGTCACTGTTGTCGTTGTCAGAATATAATTTACCACTTAATATCACATAGTTGTAAAAGTAAGCTAATTTGTCAACAACAACAACAATACTATCTGTATTGTTAATAATATTTCTGATCCAAAATATTTGAAAATAATTTGTTTCTAAACGTTTGATTCTTCTTTTATTGTTTATGCTGCCTATGCCGAAGTTTAGAAAGAAAGAAAAGTATCAGATTGTTGTAGTGCGAGCAAGAAGACTCGATAACCGTCTCCAGTAAAAATTGTCTATGTCAAGCCAGTCATTGAACCGTCAATTATTGTTGAACGAACGAACGACAGCGAATCTCAGAGGCCCCGCCTTTATATTCGTATTTTATTATTTCAGTTGGCTTTCGCGATGATATTGTTATAGAAACTAGCACTTAGGTAATATTTTTTACTGAATAAAATGTTTTAGTCCAGTCTACCATAAAACAAAATGAAGTTACTAGTACTGGAATGCAATTATTGATTTCTCGTGTACAGCAACAAATAGTGAGATTGTGTGGGTTTTGTTGCGGTAGCTTCACCTGGAATTGTGTAGTTCGAAGGGCTCAAGTTCTTCCTTATTTTTGCATTTGCCTTGGAAGGTTTAGTGTCATAATAGGTCATCAATTTAGTGTATTTGATGATGCTATTTTTAGTGGGAGTTGTCATTGTGGCTCCAAAGCTCTATTCGGATTAGGTCATCGAGTGCGGTAAACATGTGTGCCGGAGAAATGTGTTGAACTATGTTTTAAAGTGATTAATTTGGTTTCTTGTTAGATAAACGAGTACTACTAAGAAGTAGAAGATCTGCAAAAATGAGTACAACAAGTATTCTGTGTTTTGTCGCGCTAATATCATGTTCGGCGGCTTTATGTGAGTACTATTTACTTTTGTTTAAATAGCTTTGTATACCTGTGTGTATTTATTATCTCATTACATATCGACTTTTATTTATTTTTTATTTCATCATCATTTTTTTTTAATTATTATACTGTATCAGTGGACACTTGAACCCAAGAGAAACAGAATCCTATTTGACACACCTTGAGCTTTATCTGTAGCGATAGTATCTGAATAGTTCAATTAATTCATAGTCTAGGAGTATTTCTATAGTTTCAGGTGTATATTTTTTTATGTATTTAGGTGGTTATCAAGATCACTAAGTTATATATTTTAGTACTAATAGTAAAATACTTATAAGATTCAAATTATACACATAATGTGTAGACTAATTCACTAAAAAAGCATTTTATAATACATAAGAACATTGACAAAGAATTATTAATTAATTGAACATTGACTTAATATTTATAAATTATATTAATAATAGCTTCACACATCTCACACACGGGCGTCTGGTTACAAACTAAGCAGAGCCTTGCTATGGTAACCAGACTGTTGATAAACATACTTATATATTTCTAAATATATACATATCATAGATAAATTTCACCCAGACACAGAACAAATCATCATGCTCATCACATAATCATTTGTCCTGGGTGGGAATCTAACCCACAACCTACAGCTTAGCAGTCAGGGTCACTAACCACTAAATCAACAGGCCCATCATTTAAAATATGGAATTACTACAATTACTGGTACACATTTAAAATATGGAATTTAAATATGTGCCAGTAATTTCTTTTCTAACATAAGAAATAATTCAGAATCCAATTATGTAAATATCACTATTACATAGTTCAATTTTTATACTGTAAAGTTACTAATTTAATAAAAATAAAAATTTTGTTTCCCTGTAAACCCTTTTCAAGTATATTTAAATTGTAAGAAAAAAAGAGTCATTAAATTGAAGAACAATAAAGAAACAGGGTTTTAATCTCTTTTACAATTTTTTTTTTAACATTACATTAGCACAAATAAAGACATGCCTATATAGCTATCTCGTTTTCTCAAGCTTTTTCTCATATTATAATTTGCTTTTCTAAGGAGAGGCCTATGTCCAGCAGGGGACTATTAAAGGCTGTTGATGCTGATGATGATAATGACAGCAGTCACAATTGATTTAATTAGCTATTACCTAGTCTAATATTTATTCAGCTTCACTTCAATTTTATTATTGATTATTTTTAAACATTTTTGTAATGTACATGGATGGACCCAGCACTCATATGGTCAATCCATGGAATGCAATGAAATAGGTCTTACCTATGACATAAATCAAATGAAATGATATAAAAATAGAAGTAACTAGGGTATTATTAAAGTTAAAACTGAAATTAAAGCATTTGCCTGAATTGCAGGAGTTCATGGGTGGCAGTAGTCACTTTCCATCAGGTCACCCGTCTGCTTGTTTGCCCCTCTCTATCGTAAAAACAAATGTACATCACTATTTAGTACTATTTTATCACTAATTGCAACAAAGAGATATAAAAATGTAAAAAAAACAAATTTAGTATTCATCTTATAAAATGTCTAATTTAGCTTCTTGAAAAAACAATACTAATAAAATCAAATAATCTGTAAAAAACAGTCCATTAGTCATAGGTATTGGTCACATCTTATTCTTGATAATAATAACTTCATTTAGTTCCACATACCAGATTTTTAATTGATCACATTGTTTTGTCCTTGTCCAGGCTCTATTAGGTTTTTGATGTCATCAGATTGAATTTAACTCTGAACTACCCACCTCCAAGAACTCCATTCATAAAATATTATTATTAACTATCAAATTGAAATTGTAGTAATTGTAAAAGTAGAAAATTGTAGTAGTGTAAACATTGTAATGGCTAAGGTGTCTGATATGCATATAGACGGACCTGTTGCTCTACTGGTTAGTGACCCTGACTGCTAAGCCGGAGGTCATGGGTTCAATTCCCACCCAGAACAAATATTGTGTGATGAATACAGTCATTTCTTCTGTATTTGGGTGTAATTTATCTATAATATGTACCTATGTATTTAAAAATATATAGGTATATTTATCAGCAGTCTGGTTACCATAGTACAGACTATGCCTATTTTGAGATCAGACTGCCGTGTGTGAGATGTAAAAAGTTATTATAATCAAGTGGTTTAGGATTCAAACACTACCTTCTACACTATTGATCTTTATATTCACTACTAATAGTAGTTCCCTGCGTTTTCACCTGTGGGTTTAGTCACAGCTCTACTCTTCATCCGTGTTATGATACACAACATATAAGATAATGAAATTTCTCCATAATAATTTTTTTCATGGATCTTTTTAATAGTTATTCTGCTATTTGGGGCAAAGACAAGAAAAAAAAGGTTCTGTGCAGTTTTATACATGTTAATTGTCACTGCCGGTTCTTATGTGCCCTAGTGTGATGTTATTACTATAAAATATGTAATATAAAAAGGCTTAAAAAAGGTTTTACAATCTGATAGTAGCATATTTAAAAAAGAGAATAATAAGAAAAAAAAAAACAATTTTTCTCTAATTCTTCTTTTCAAACAGTGGTTTTATTAATTATGTAGATTCATCAAATGTTATTGTATGCAAAGTTATCAGTTTTGGAATAATTTTTCACTTAACAATGTATTGTTGCGGTACCTGTGTACATATCATATACATGATATTATGCCCATGGCATTCTCTTAAAGGGATCCATTGAATTTGTAATTAGTGCCAAATAGGATACAAGGAATCAATAAGTCTTCATAAAAATGAATTAGAGATAGATGTTTATAAATTATCTACATAATAAACTGGAAACTTTTAAAAATTGTTACTTAGGTATGTTGTAGGATTTATAAAGCCAAATCAACAATTTACACCATTTAGATTTAACATGATTTTTCTAAGGAGAGGCCTATGTCCAGCAGTGGACTGTTATGGGCTGTATTTCTTTCTAAGTTGTATCTACAAAACTAACCTACTTATGCAAAACAGTATCATACACATAATGATAATTTTGGGAAGAAGCTAGTTTAGTCTTATAATACCATTAAAATAGGTTGCTATTTTGTATTTGTTTGTATAAAAGTATAATATTATTAAAAAAAAACATTCATCACTGCTGGACATAGGCCTCTCCCATTGCCTCTCCAATTCATTCAATTTTAGATATTTCAGTGACCATAATTATAAATAAAAATTTGTCAAAATTGTCAGATCATTTTGATGCTTGCAAGATTTTATCATCCTTGTTTTGGTGTGACTTATCATCTAAAACAAATACAGTTAGTTCCACTTTATTGATATATATTTTATTTTTATTTATCTGCAATTGTTATAAAAGTAATGAACTAACCCACTCATTATTGGCTTCCCTGACTTATAAATATTTAAACCTTTTTATCCTAATTAGTAAAGCTATTTTAAAAGTGTGTGTTAAGCAACTTGATGATAAGAATTTGACACTTTGGGTGAAGGTCTACAACAAATGAGTCAGTATGCACTTTGAGAAGTGTTCATGTTTTTTAAATACATATTTTAGATATCATAGATTAAATATCTACCTATTCAAGATTCCTCTGTTATTCACATTATGTTATTATAATTGATGCCAATTAAATATACAACGTATAAAATAATTCCTTTATTCTGGTTCCTAAAAATAAACTAAACAGTTGCACTTAGCCACTTAATAAAATACATTTCTGATGTCTTGTAGAAGAGAAGTAACACCACTCTCTGATGACTTCTCTTTGGTGATGGTCTGCACTCTACTTAAAAAATAATATAAAATATAATAATAATATAAAATTCTACCACATACACACAACGCCATCTAGTCCCAAACTAAGCAGAGCTTGTACTATGGGTACTAGACAAATGATATAAATACATATATACCTTTTTTTTTTTGTAAATACATACATATTATACATAGAAACACCCAGACCAAATCAAACATCAAATGTTCATGCACACAAATGTTTGACTTGAGCGGGAATGGAACCCGCGACCTTTGGAATAGCAGTCCGTTACACAAACCACCACGCCATCCGGTCGTCAAATGCCCAAGGCCATCACTCACTAACTAAGCTTTTAGAAAATAACTTCATGTCAGTGGTACCTGCTCGAAATCCAGGCTTTTCAAAAGTATGCAGCATGGATTTTGCCCATGGCTCCGCTTGCGAATATGTCGGTTATCGCTTTAAAAGGTACTCATGTCCTTCCTCACGAATAAAAGTATCTCCATGCCAAATTGCATTAAAATCGGTTTAGCGGTTTAGCCGTGAAACAGAGAGATTACTTTCGCATTAGCATTATAATATTAGCATTAATAATATTAACAGGAATTAGGTATGTGCTATTTATTACATGTGCAGTAGGAAAGAAGTTAAGATCTCATTCAGTCTAAACAAGCCCAGATTTCAGATTCATTTATATTTATTTTCCCACGCTCATTAACTAATCGATTATTTACTCGGAAGTAATGAGGTGTCTTTTTACTCGAGCAGTTTTGTTAAGACCACTAAACCAGTTATGTATATTCAATGCAACGGTCAATATCAGTCGACATCGGGAAAGACCAGTGAACATTATTTATGATAGTAAAGAAACCGGTTCGTAATAATTACTTATATTAAAAGATGAATAAAAAAAGTTCGCGATGTTTTTTTGTATTTTGGATTTTATTATAGTGTACATTTAGATCGAATATCGTTCACGTAAATACACCTTTTTTGTCTCCTCTGGCTCGAGAGGATTGCCCTAAAAGTCCACTCAGTTTCAAACTAGAGGTTTATTTAGATGGATTTCACGGTCCTTAGGAAAATGTTTAGGTTACTCTTAAATTTTCTCCTAATATGTTTTAAGGAAACGAAATGTTGAAACTTCTCTGTATTGTGCTCACATTGTGCCTTTAAGTAAGTAGCTGATACGATGCTATTTAGTACATTACAGTATTCTTATGACTATGAGGTCCAGGACATAGGTTAACTTAATAATCCTACCGAATGTCAGAAATGCTAATAATTGTTTGTTTATTGAGTTTTGCGCAACGTCTCAACCTCTATATTAATCGACATCAATTTAAATCGTGAATTTTTCCATATACATTGTGTGTGGGACACACTAAAGACATAGATAGCATATTATGTAGTTTCCTTTCATCCAGAATCCGAGGAATGGTTGGCAACCAGGGCCTGAATTCTGTTATTCTAATATTGTATCAATAGCCTGTCGATGGAATGTCGTCATTCATGATATGTAGTAAGACCAATGGCCGGATGACTTGTCACTGAACTGCCACTGATACAAATGTCTTCAATGTCTTTGTAATAGTTTGGTAAACGGTACATTTTAAATTTGTAAGAAAATGATATTTTTAATTTGCCTGGTATGGCAATGTTGTTGATATCACCATTGATGACCTATATTACTATATCGACAGTATTGACACTGAATTTATGCTAGTAGAATACGGATATTTTGACCGATGTCAATGGCATCTCAATAGCGTGTCAATGGAGAGACAGTGGCTTGGCGTTAACATAAAATAGCAGAATTGAGGCCCTTAACAACAGACTACTGTTGCTATTCTTAATCATATATGTATATTTACTTTTTTTAAAGTAGAACTAGCACCAAACATTGCAGCGATAGTAAAATCATAGGTCTCGATGTCAATCAAAAAGCACAGTACATAGTTAATGAATGCATAATTTTTATCATACTTTACACGACGGCTTCGCAAAGTGGTCGAAATCGATCCCTTGGGGCCGATTTCGGTTTCACAGGGGTCGACATAAACGATAGGAAAAGGGGGTCTACGAGGTCTAAAAATCGACCCCTATTAATTAACACAGATTCATATTTGAAACTTTCAAGATACTGCGTTAATATTTGTCTTACGTGTTCCAACTTTTTATAAGACTGACTAATATTTTAGTAGGAAGTATCATTATTTAACTTTTATGAAACTCAACAAGTCGTTAAGCGCGCAGTAATTTGGCTATGGGGTATCAGTTCATTTTAGAAAACGGATCTCTTGCCCTAAATAGTTTGGGAATCAATACTTTACACGAATACACTAATAAAGTATTTTAATACATCTTTGTAACATTAAATAATCAGTGAGACAGTGACCTACCAATATTTCTCAGAATATATAAATACATGTCTCATACAGTTTTGCGAATCTTCGTCTGCATATTAATATTTCCGGTGTTCATGTGATACATTTGTGTACAGTGACGTCACCGCCGAAGATAGTCAAGCAGCCGACACAAGAAGAGATTCTGTTCCAAGTGGCGCAGGCTGGAGAAGTGGATAAACCATTTATCATCGAGTGCGAAGCGGAAGGTGAACCGGCCCCGAAGTAAGTCAAATTTTATTTTCAAGCTTCTTGTTACGTATCTTGTTATAAAAGGCTACAGAGTGAGTAACATAACAAGAAAGTGATACAAATATTTAACACTACAAATATCTTCTTGAAGGCTTATAAAGATCGCTTTGTGGTTCGAGTTTCGTTTCGACCGTTTTAAATGTCTTCCTTTATTGAATGGTCCAGAGGTCTAAGTGTGAGTTTACTTAACATTTACTCGATCATGACGGTGAGCGCGTTCGGCGCTGCGATTGGTCTGCACTGAAATCTGCACCAATCGCAACGTCGAACGCGCTCGCTGTCGAGAGCGACTTCATGTGAAATAAAATTGCACTAGAGCCTCTGTAACTGTATAGAATAATAATAATGTTTCGGACATCTGACAAACAACGCTATCTAGTTTCAAACTAAGCAGAGCTTGTACTATGTAAATAATATACAAAAGAATAGCTTTATGCAACCAATATTACATAATTTTCAACTTTATTACACATTGTTTAAAGAAGTTATATTTCTGCACTTCTACATTAATAAACTTCAAGTATTTCTAAATCACACGATTACAAATATTTTCCTCACGTATAAATATATTCCACCTCCAAATAAGAAATGCTTCATCACAGTTGTACAATGCTGATAAACTAAGACAAGAAGCGGTTAGGAATTGTGTTATTTGAGCTCTTTGTCTCTACTGAGTTATTTTCTGCATCTGCTGGTCAGAGCTGCTTCGAGGCAATAATAATAATATTCTACAAAATTAACAACGCCATCTAGTCCCAAACTAAGCAAAGCTTGTGCTATGGCTACCAGACAACTGATATAAATACAAATATACTTTTTTTTTGTAAAAACATACTTATACATAGAAACATCCAGACATTAAACAAACATTAAATGTTCATGCACACAAATGTTTGACTTGAGCGGGAATTGAACCCGTGACCTTTGAAATAGCAGTCCGTTACACAAACCAGTACGCCATTCGGTCGTCAATTAGTGCCATGAGATAGGCAGACAGAATGCGTGTGCGTGTTACCACTGTATTTGTTTAAGTTGTAGGAACGGGAAGAACCAGGTACCAATTTGAAAAAGGCCTATGTCTAACAGTTCACGCGACAGCCTGATTGCGACCTTATCGTTATGTCAATAAAACTTGTTCATTTTAACCACATTAGTACCTATTAGAATAAAATCCATACCACACTATTGTTGTACATTTTATCGCATTATACCCAGTACATGATTGTTACACTCGTGATGTATATAGGTTCCTTATGGATGTATGACTCATACAATCTTCATCTTTTAGCAATGACAAGGGTATGCGGGTCGAGACGGAATTAAATTGAGAGCCGTATTTGGTACCTGCCTTGTAGGACGTCTTTGACAATGTAGTTTGTACACCGTGATTTATATAGGTAATAGTATTATATATAATATAATACAAACTAAACCTGTCTATTAACTTTTCACGATTAAATCTAGCTTATAACGAGATTTGACCAAAAACTTGTTGTTATCTTTGAAAGAAAGGTGAATTGCAGTGATTGGGTTACGTTTGAGATCAAACCCTTAAAGCCTTTACAACCTTAAAGGGTTGTATTAACAAAAAGTATACTTAATCCTTATACTTTTCATATAACGTATTAAAAAAAACGCAATAAAAGAAAGGTTATCGTGGTAAAATATATTTTAATCATGGTGAGCTTATATTCGTATTCAAAACAAAACTTCGCTGTACTATTATTATACTTTATTATTATTTATTTTTAATCTGTGGACATATTAGCCGCAGAACCGACAACCGTTGGGGAAAACGAGTTCTTGAGTGAAGACCGCGCCTCGGCAAGCGTAGTGTAGGATTCCCACAGGCCAGGTGAAGTGACGATTTTCGCAAGATGGCTGGCAGGAGCTGGATGCGAGAAGCCTAAAATCGATCTAAGTGGCGTGCAATGGGAGAGGCCTATGTCCAACAGTGGACTGCGATAGGCTGATGATGATGAAATTATGGCAATTTATGGTCCGTTCTCTTCGCCTGCTAAGACAAAGATTCCTTAACTTTCTTACATTTATTATTATATCAGTACAGTTAGCTTAGTATAGTTAGCTACATTTAGTACAATTATGAATGATTTTTTATTTTCGTTTATTACGCTACCATGTTTAAACCACTGAACCGATCATCATGTCATTTTTTCGTGTACATGATTTGAAGCGTATAGAATATAGGATACGGTAGGCAACGAGAGCTAGCGAGTTGATTGACAAAAACTACATTAATGCGGACGAGACCGTGGGCAGAAACTAGTATTGCATAGTTTGGGTTGCTTTATGTGCCGCGATGATTCATAATAATACGTTCCAGCTTATCAACGATGCGTTGTAGGCAAGACACGTTCGAAAATTCAGGTAGATCTCGTATTTTTAACATACACTTGAAGTACTTACACAAACATAAGCTGTTTCGGGTTACCGGAGTTCAAACCTCTCCTCCCCCTTATTCTTAGAAGGGGGGTCCTCCTTCTAAGAACTTACTTGAGACTCTTAAGTAGGTGTCTACGTACGGCGGTAGCTACTTACCATCGGGTGACTCGTCTGTTTGTTTGCCTGCTGTACATGCATGAACGGCAATTCAATATAGTGTTAATTCCCGTCTATATATATAATTCAACCAATCTGTGGAACATACTATCGTCTGCGGTATTCCCGGAGCGATACGACCTTCAAACCTTCAAGAAAAGAGGTATTCCTTCCCCAAAGGCTGGCAACGCGCTTGTGACTCCCGAGTTGCAGGCGTTCATGGGCGGCGGTCGTCATTTTCCATCAGGTGACCCGCCTGTTGTCAACTGCCCTATTAACGCGATAAATAGAGAGATCTATCTGTAATCATATTAGTTACACGTATCTACTTATATCTGTAGAAGAAACAATGTCAAATTTAAACACCTAGCCACTATATATTATGTAGTTTCTAACATATTGTTAAGTTATTTAATTAGTTATGGTAAAGTTTATGACTCAAAAACCTATATTTATTACTAAGAATTTTGAAAATAATATGAAATAATCTAAAAAAACTACATTTAATAACTTTACAATATTCCACAAACATTTATCGATTTGTTAAAATGGAAATGAAACTAAAATGTATGTAATCGCAGATCCACCGCGTCGCAAATTTGCAAACGATAAATACATGAGAATTGGAAATAAAGTGAGGGCGTAAAACGTTATTCAGCCTTCGTATGCGGCATTCCCATGAAAAATCTCTTACTATATCGATTCAACGGTATAGATACAATAATTAATTGAATTACCTTTTACATAATTAGTACGTGTGGTGACGGATTAAGAATACAGAGTGTCACCACCCCTATTCATCCAGTGGCTGTCATAAAAGGCGACTAAAGGAGCAAACTACGCAGGACAACAGCACTGCAGAGAGAAGGAAAACTTGACACAACCCGTCTGGCCAGCGTGGTGTCAAAACCTCAAGGTTTTGGTCAAAACCTCCTTTCTAAGGAGAGGCCTATATCCAACAGTGAACTAGTAAAGGCTGATAATAATAAAATACATTAGACGTATTAGAATTGTAGCGTACATTAAAAAATTCACTATACACAGAGGCTCATTAAACGTCAACATTTTGCCAATTATAATTTTTTGTCCCACTTACCCAATAGGAAAGACTATTACCGTCAACCGAGCACTAGTGATTAGATGGGTAAATTTGGAATATAACAAAAATAAATTAAAGGAGAGGGTTGGGTAACCGAGTGGGTTAACACATTGCAATTTTAGACAGTCCTACCCAGGTCAGTCTATGGAATGAGATGGGGTTCACCTGTTACCCCCAGGCCTGCGCTTATGGAGGACGGAGGTCGTTCTGCGACCTCCGGCTCCGAGTCTCTGCGATACCTGGCCCGTTCCCGGGCCGGAAGAGTTCTAAACCTCTCCCGGTCCCGCTCCGCCATCTCCTTCGCAAGCATAAAATATGGACGAACGCAACGTGAAACGGCAAGAATGCAGGCGAAGCAGTGTAATTTTTTTTTTGTCAACTATAATAGGGTGTATGACTATCACCATACTCTCCAGAGTTGGATGATTTTGGATGATTTTTAGAACAAAGTTCCTTATCCCGCGTTGTGAAAGGGGGCTAGACGGAAAAAAATCTCACGAAAAGTTGTAACGAAACTTTTTATGTCAGTCATTCAACGCCATCTATCGAATAGATAGGAAATCATTACTTTTCACCTCAGTATTTATTTTGAATTGTCACTTGTCAGTCATTCAGCGCCATCTATCGAATAGATAGGAAAACATTTCTCAAGGAGATTTTACCAATGTATAAATTGTTTTAATTAGAAACCAACTGAAAAATATGTAGGTAATAGCCGCTTTCATAGATGGGCGTTGTAATTAAAATCGTGTCGAATCAGTTTTACACTTTTTTTTTTATCACGTCACAACTTCGTTCCTATCTGGTGTCCCACGACACCACACGGCTTTTTTGTTTTTTTCCGTCGGGATGGTTTCGAGTGGAAACACCACAGACTCATACTCTTGCCTCCTGCATCGTCACCGAGCCGGAGCCGTCATCGCCGGGAGCCCGAGATACGAAATGATTTTCCGTTCCCGTCGACACAAAAAATAAAGACATCTACAAAATTGTACAGTATGAGCAATAAATTTGCATGTTTATCAATGATAAAATACATATCCATGTGTTAGTGTACACCATAATGTTGAAATTGAGTTCCACGTGGTTGCACTAAGGGATATATCTACTATGATGTCCTTACCGTAACGGGAGTTTCCTGTTCTGCATCCGCTGCACTGATTTGTACCAGTCATATGACTGAATCACGTTTAAATCTTTAGCTCTATCATACTATGTTGATTTGCCAGTTGTCCTATTGAAGTCTATTTGCAGTGTTTGGTAAATCTTCTTTATTCATTGCAGTAACCCAGAGTGTCTTTAGTATTGTGTTGGT